CTTCAATAAGTGGTGCTAGGAAAACTGGACAGCTACATGTAAAAGAATGGAATTAGAACACTCCCTAATACCATACACAAAAATAAACTCATAATGGATTAGAGACCTAAATGTAAGACCGGACACTATAAAACTCTTAGAGGAAAACGTAGGAAGAACACTCTTTGACATAAATCACAGCAAGATCTTTTTTGATCCACCTCCTAGAATAATGGAAATAAAAACAAAAATAAACAAATGGGATCTGATGAAACTTAAAAGCTTTTGCAAAGCAAAGGAAACTACAAACAAGATGAAAAGACAACCCTCAGAATGGGAGAAAATATTTGCAAACGGACAAAGGATTAATCTCCAAAATATATAAACAGCTCATGCAGCTCAATATTAAAAAAACAAACAACCCAATCCAAAAATGGCCAGACGACCTAAATAGACATTTCTCCAAAGAAGACATACAGATGGCCAAGAAGCACATGAAAAGCTGCTCAACATCACTAATTATTAGAGAAATGGAAATCAAAACTACAATGAGGTATCACCTCACACCAGTTAGAATGGGCATCATCCGAAAATCTACAAACAACAAATGCTGGAGAGGGTGTGGAGAAAAGGGAACCCTCTTGCACTGTTGGTGGGAATGTAAATTGATACAGCCACTATGGAGAACAGTATGGAGGTTCCTTAAAAAACTAAAAATAGAATTACCATATGACCCAGCAATCCCACTCCTGGGCATATACCCAGAGAAAACCATAATTCAAAAAGACACATGCACCCCAATGTTCATTGTAGCCCTGTTTACAATAGCCAGGTCATGGAAGCAACCTAAATGCCCATCAACAGACGAATGGATAAAGAAGATGTGGCACATGTTTGCAATGGAATATTAGCCATAAAAAGGAACAAAACTGGGTCATTTGTAGAGACATGGATGGATCTAGAGACTGCCATACAGAGTGAACTAAGTCAGAAAGAGAAAAACAAATATCGTATATTAACACATATATGTGGAACCTAGAAAAATGGTACAGATGAACCGGTTTGCAGGGCAGAAAGAGAGACACAGATATAGAGAACAAACATATGGACACCAAGGGGGGAAAGTGGTGGCGGGGGGTGGTGGTGGTGGTGGTGGCGGTGTGATGCACTGGGAGATTGAGACTGATATGTATACACTAATATGTATAAAATGGATAACTAATAAGCACCTGCTGTATAAAAAAATAAAATTCAAAAAAAATGGATGAAAATTAAAAATGAAATTCTATAAGGTCGCCTATAACCCCACCATAAATAACTATTATTAACATTTTAGTGTATAACCCCTTTCATATCATATACATGTAAACACATATACTTTTAAAATAAATGGTCGTATTATTCATATAAAAAAAACCTATAGGAAAATCAATCCAGTTTATTCAACATATAAAATGCAAGTAGAGCAGCCTTTAGATTAAAAGGGATTTAGAGATTTATCAAACAAATATAAAATGTGGACCTTTTCTGGATCTTGATTTGAACAATTTAACTGTTTAAAAAATGAGAGATTAGGGGATATATGAATGCTGACTATTTGTCACTATTAAGGAATTACTGTTAATCTTTTTAAGTGTGATAATAGTATTGTGGTTATGAAATTCTTTTAATCCTTATATTTTAAAGTTACACATTGAAGTAGTTTTGGATGAAATGAGATGACACCTAGGATTTGCTTCAAAGTAATCTTGTATAGGCAGAAGTATCCAGTATAGAGATGAGTAGGTAGAAGTGAGATGAAATAAGATTTTCCATGTTTTGATCCCTAGAAAACCAGGTGACAGTTCATGGAAGTTCATTATACTATTCTACTTTTATGTATGACTGAAAAACTTTAAAAAATCTTTTTGTTATGGAAAGTATGCCACATACAGACATTCTATGTCATGGTCCTTGAACGAGAGATTCACTACTGCTTCCAAAGCAACTGTCCTAAGTTCTCCTAGAGAACAGTACCAACAGGGAGCCTACATTTAGTTACTTAAGCAATCATATCTCTTGGGCTTCAAGAGGGATGACTTTCTACAAACAAAGATTAGGCCAGATCCCCTTTTGGACAGAGTCCAGAATAAGAGACAATATCAATACTGACAAATTTAGGGATTCAGGAGATTTTTTTCCAGGCAGGGCAGAATTAGATCCAATTAAACCAGCCAACAACCAATTGACTGTTTTAAATCACCTGTCATCTATAAAGAGCAAATAGCACACTATGTTGCGAAAACAACATACCATATTAAGAATCTATTCTCACCTCTCAGTTTCTTATCAAAGCACCAACAGAAAGGAGTGAACATTTAATGAACAAGTCTAATAAATGGAATAGATGAGATCTTTAAGAATCTCCTGACACAAAAAAAGCCTAACAGTTCTCACATTCCCCAGGTGATCACTTACAGCAGAGATCAGCAAACTTAAGCAGCAAGCCAAATCCAGTTTGCAACCTTGTTTTGTATAGCCCTTGAGCTAAAAATGGTTTTTATATTTTTAAAGGGTTGAAACACACATACACAGAGAACATGTGACAGAGACCACCTGCACAGCCTAAAATAATATGTAGCAAACTTTTTTATAGAAAAAGTTTGCTGACCCCTGATTACAGTGACAGCCCCTAAAATAATCCAGTATGTTAGTTCCCAGAAGTTCAGTGTAGTGGGTCTACCTATTGTAACAAATCAACAATCAAACAATTCACATTTTAGCTGCTCTCCCCAGCCCCACCTGGTGCTTCCAAGTCTGTGCCTTCAGAGCACCTCTTCTGTCAGTCTCAAAGCAGAAAGGCTCAACCTGGGTTGTATTCTTCACCTTCTTCTCCGGCAGGTTAATGGTGTCAAAATGAGGCAAAGGAAGCGCCTTGAATTTGGGCACCTAATAGAAAAGAAAATGTAAGATTTAAGATAAGGTCTTTCTAGCCAGAAAGCAACAACTACTCCAGAATATTTGGATGAATCTAAAAAATAGGAAAGGCCAGTTTTCAAAGCAGCATGGTGTAGCAGAAAGAGTATTGGGTTCAAAAGGAAATCAAGGTTTTCCTCCCAATATTGCCAATGACCAGCAGCGTGATCATGGGCAAGTCACTTAAGCTCCTTGTGCCAGAATGGCACTTAAATAGCCTTATGAAGTATAAATAGGGCAAGTAATTTAATGGCACTTTAAATTACTTGCCCTATTTATACTTCATAAGGCTCTTAGAGGGATCAAAGGAAGTCAGTGATTTATAGTTAAAAGTGCAACATAAAAGATTACCTTTGAGGGATCAAAGAATAGTACTGTGCTACTTGGAGGAATGGAAACACCTACCTCCCCTTTCTGCAGTTCTTTTATTTTCTTCTCCTTCTGTAACTGACGTTCTTTGTCTCGAGAATCAAAAGAGAAAGGGCATATTTCCACAGTTCTCCCCACTGGGATTTGAGGCTTAAAAGGCATTCCAAAATATGGCACAGGTTGAGCTCTTATCACTACTGGCTCCTCCTCTTCCTAAAGAAAAAAATGCAGTTTAGAAACAAGATTCCTCGCTCTCTCTCACCTCCTCTGAATGTGGAGTCAGAAGACATTATATGAGAGAAGTCATTAATTAAGGCAAGTCACTCAACCTCTCAGGTGTCTTAGCTTCCTTTTCTATCAAAGAGGGGTATCTACCAACTCTCAGGGGTGAAACCAGTGTGAAAGCATTTGATAAGCTAACACAATTACTCTTAAAGGATCTAAAATTTTTCACAGGAAGGTTGTAAAAACTAAATGAGATCAAACAGTTTGAATAAAATGAAGAACAGAAGAAAAGTACTAACCAAGCATATACCTTGGCCTCTTCTTTGACCCAGACTTCAGACTCCACTAAAACATGTGACTGGGAGTATTCCCAGTTGCCAAACCCAGAATAGGACCAAGTAAGTTGATTGGATTCAAGCTGGTAACATAAGATTACTGTGTATTTTAGTTTCAAATGAACCTATAAAAAGGCTTATGCCTGAGATCTGCTGTAAAATTACCCTAACTCTGGATATTTATAGATAAAATGGGGGATGTAACAAGAAACTAGCCTGATCAATAACAGTTTATATATTCCAACTTCATGAACCATCACCACACAGTCACCTTTGCAACCCTTGGATTAATGGAGATAGTTAAGGACAGGGTGGATGTAACTGCTTAGTATGAATTTTAAAAGTCCCTCACTGAATGGTGACAATAGCTGGGGCAAAATAGAGTATAGGTCTTGGGAACTTTTGATCCACGTTACAACAGGGTGATTTCCAATGCAACAGAAACAAACATAGCTCCAATAAGTTACGACCAGTTACCACTGAAAGCCAAAAGATTCATACCCTTACTAACTACTTTGTTCTTGGAAGAGCAAAAACAGATGATCAATCATTCATACCCATTGTTAAAACAACTCCAGACAAGAATGATGGCCTTTGTATTCCACTAAGTTTAAGAAAGAATAATACTTAGATTGATTATGTAGAAGGAGTAGAAACCCCCATCCCAGGGAAATCACCTCATCTTCTTTGGTGGGCATTCTGATTCTGTTCTTCAGAGCAAAGGCCGGTGACTTGGGGACAGTGATTGGAAGTACTTTCTTTTCAGGAACACCCTGGAAGGAGTAAGCAACTCAATTAGATAACCTAGAACAATCTCTACTAGGCTGTGTGATGAGATCAATCCCTTTCTTAGAAGTTCACATATCAGGAATCAAAAAAAGCTAGTTATTTCAGTATGTTGTTAACTTAACCAACTAAGACTGGTATGTATTAATGCTCCAAAGGTGGATTAACATGACAGAAGAACAGCAAATAACAAAAACATAGTTTGAGTTGCATATTCAACAAAAATAGGATTCATCAAAATCTTTTTTGGTATTTATGAAAAACACTACAAAATAAACTGTCAATATTTTATTGTTTCTCTCCCATTTTATACCCCAATCCCTTAAAAACAAAATCAAAAAGGACTTCCAAATGTTATCTAGGAACAGAATAGATACTGTCCATTCTCTTAAACCTATTCCACATACATCTCTAAAATAAGAACTTATATTTAAAAATATTAACCTCAAAAGGCAAATGGAAAAAAGTACGGGGCAAGGGTTAGCTTAATTTCCTTTTGCCAAATAACTGGACAAAGAACAAGCAGTTTACAAAGATATACAAGAGGCTCAATCTCAATAATTTTTAAAAATATAAAGTAAAATAAAGTATTTTTCACCTACAAGACTGAGTAATAATTAAAAGACTGGTTAATACCAGTGTTGACAGGTGAAGAGAAATGGGCACTCCTTTACAGTTGGGTAAGGTACAGAGCACAAATTGGTACAACCTTTAGGAATTAGCTACTAAATCTTTAAATGGTCATACTCTTTCACCCAATATTACATCTCTAGTATTTGATCTCTAGTTTAGTTTTTAGGTATATTTCAATACAGCATTTTTAAATTTAAATGAATAAAAAAATTGCAAATAACCCTATTATCTATCAAAAAAAGAACTGGCTAAATCCTTTCTTAAATTGTGGTACATAACTAATTGTGGTACATGACTAATAAGAACCTACTGTATAGCACAGGGAACTCTACTCAATACTCTGTAATGACCTATAGGGAAAAGAATCTAAAAAAAGAGTGGCTATATGTATAACTGATTCTCTTTGCTGTATAGCAGAAACTAACACAACACTGTAAATCAACTATACTCCAATAAAAAATAATTTTAAAAAATTGTGGTACATCCACACAATAGAATACTATAGTCATCAAAAAGAAGCAAATAAATCTTTATTACTGACAGAACAGTATTCATAATGTTGAGGGGGGAGGGACAAGTTGCTGAAACAAAAAATACTATTATTAAATATTATTTCTGTGTGTTTTTAAGATGTCTTTTAAGAAAAACAAATATATGATATCACTTATATGTGGGATCTAATTTTTTTTTAATTATATAAACGAACTTGTTTACAAAACAGAAACAGACTCACAGAACTTGAAAACAAACTTATGGTTATCAAAGGGTGGTAGGGACAGGGATAAATTAGGAGCTGGGGATTAACACACACACACTACTATATATAACATCAATAATCAACAAGGACCTACTGTATAGCACAGTGAACTCTAAATATTCTGTTAATAACCTATATAGGAAAAGAATCTGAAAAAGAATGAACCTATGTATATGTATAACAGAATCACTTTGCTGTACACCTGAAACTAACACAACACTGTAAATCAACTATACTCCAAAAAAATTTATTTAAATAAATTAACTGAATTGAATTAAATTTTTAAAAGATACTTGCGCATATACTAAAAAAATAAAATAAAATGTATATATAATTAATCTAAGCATAGAAAATGAAATATGGAAAGAACACCAAGCTGTTAACTCTCACATCTCTTTGAGGGTAGATTAAAAGAGGGATTTAATTTCTATATTCCTTAATTCTAATACATTCAACTTCTCCAAAGATTTTTTCCCCCTTTGTGATTTCAAAACACTGCCAACATCTCAAATCTTTTCAGACTGAATTATGTATACCATACTATGCGCATCATTCAAAACTAACATAATTCTAACTCTCATAGAGTTTACACTATCATGAATCTGGCAATTAACCCTAACTGCAAAATGGTATCTCTAGGGCTACCGTCCTGCATGAAGTGTATGACCAGATCAATTTTAAAAAATCGGGCTTCCCTGGTGGCGCAGTAGTTGGGGGTCCACCTGCCGATGCGGGGTACGTGGGTTCGTGCCCCGGTCCGGGAGGATCCCACATGCCGCGGAGCGGCTGGGCCCGTGAGCCATGGCTGCTGAGCCTGCGTGTCCGGAGCCTGTGCTCCGCAACGGGAGAGGCCGCAGCAGTGAGGGGCCCGCCTACCGCAAAAAAAAAAAAAAAATCAAAACAACCTTGAGACATCCTCAGTAACTCCTTATTTCTTATACCCACATCCATATGCTGGCCCCATCAGCTCTCTATTCTGCTTCCTCTCTAACTCTTCACTGTCATGACACAGGCCACATCATCTATTGCCTGTACCATTCCACTAGCCTTCTAACAGTCCTTCAGCTTCTCTCATTCCACCAGTCCATCTTCTTATACAGTCAGAAGATTTGATGTTACTTCCTGACTTAAAATTCTTTAATGGCTCCTACTGCCTACCTACAAGAGTATAACATATTCCTTGGCATGAAGTACAAGGTGTTTCATAATTTGGAACCCTGCCTGACTTTCCAGGCATACCTCTTGCCCCTCTTTAGGCATCACCCTCCATCCACAATGAACTACTAACAGCTACCAGAATTTAACACTGGTTCTCATCACAATGCAATACCTTTGCTTATGCTCTCTCAGAAATGCTCTGGCTGCTTGGAAGCATCTAACCCTTCTTTTCAAGCCTCCACTAAAGCATCTCCTCTCTGATAAAACCCTTCAATAGATCGCTCCACTCCTCCAGACCTACTGACCCCACTCTCCCCTGTATATAGTCTATCGTGGTACATATGAAACTTCATTGCACTTGTTTATTTAGGTATTCATCTCCTCCTGCTAACCTATGAGTGCTTTGAGAGTAGGGACTGTTATTCCATCAACCCCTAATACCTAACACAGACCTTGGCAAGCATAAGGCATTCAGGAAATGTTTGTTGAATGAATACAGTAAGCATGAATAACAGAATTTATACCTTGGACTTGAAGACTCTTGGACTCTAATTTATACCCTGGGAGACTTCTTAATCCCAACAATGCTGCAACTGCTCCAAACATGTTTGGAATATCTTTCTTGGAGTGGCCTTCAAAGCCAGTTTTAGGGCCATGCAAGGCAATTGCTCAACCTTTACTTTTAATTAAGCAAAATTGTTTCCAGCTCTATTATTTTAGACTACTCAGAAGTTTTAGTTCCCAATGACTTTAGACCAGCTCCTAAGAGCAAATTAATCTTTAAAATATGAAGACTTGCCATCGTTGAAGAGATCCAAAAGACTGTGCCACAGGATCCAAGACCAGTGGCTTTTCCAAAATGCTTTCTATAATATCAATCTTTGGAAAGAATTAATAAACTCTCAAGGTGACCACTGTAAAGGGAATGCTCATTCTGCTGTGAAAGTTCTCATACATTTTCTAAAGAAAACCAGAATCACTAGTATAGTAAAATTTAATACAGCAGAACTTGTAATCAGAATGACAAAAGTCTATGAAATGGGTTTTCAAATAATGCTTGCCAGAAAATGACAACAAAAATCTGTTGTTCTACAACATCCTGGACACCTGTGGACACCAGCCTGTAGCTCGAACACAGTCAAGGATACGCGGTAATAGGAAGTACACTGAGCAAGGAGTCAAGAGGTCTGTTTTAGCCCGGCTCTGATTCCAGTCTGTACAACCTGTATAACATGAGATAGCCTTTTAGTCCTTGATTTTTTTCCTTTCATAAAATATAGTAATTGAAATAAATATCTGAGGACTCAGTTTTAAAATAATGTCGCTTTTCCTATTTTTCCCCTCTCTCTGCATCCTCCCAACAGAGAGATGTGCATTTTAAAAGAAATCTCTAATAAGTAAGCCATGAAAGAGATATTTACGAGTAGGATCAATCCTCATAATTACTTGCGGGAGAAGGAAAGGTGATTTATGAAAATCAACCTTGCAGCAACTATTTATCCACACCCCATCTCCACTGCAATCAAAGCCAATAGGGGCTCAATCAGAAATAAAGAAAAGACATTGGGTTTCTAGGGACAGAGAAGGCTTCTTGTTTTATTATTTTAAGGTTTTTTAGTTATAAGCTCCTTGAGGGCAGCGATATTGCCAATTGCATTCCTTTGCATTCTCCACAGCACCTACAAGAAGTAGTAATTGTTCAATGAACATATGTTGATTAGCATTACTGTCCTTATTTGTTTACATGTCAATCTGTTCTCCCAGACTGTGAAAGCTTTGAGGACAAAGGCTGTGCCTAATTCCATTCGAATTCCCAGTGTCTAACACAGGCTGGTGCACTTCAGCTTGTACTGCTGCTCATGCAGTTATCCAATATAGCAACGCCCATGCTGTGATGCTTAGGTGCTGGGGAAACAGGAGTGAAGAGTACAGATATACATGGTCCCTGCTATCAGTGAGTTCACATTCTAGTGGAGGAAAGAGACAATGAAAAAGTAACAAATCAAGTATTTCCTGATTTTCACAAGTGCTCTGAAGAAACCCAACAGAATGTGGAGCTGAAGGATAATGGGGGAAACTCTGAAAGGAAGCTGAGGGAAAGTATCTCTAAAGAGGTGATACATGGTTAGAAGTGGGCATTGTGGGTGGACAGATGACACATTTTGGAAAAGCAGCCCAGGATGGGGGATGGGATGTTAGGGGTGAGCACTTCTCCCTAAGGCAGGATATGCCCCCAAGTGCCCTGGGACAAGTTCTCAGGCCTGTCCCAGAGCAATTAGGAGATTACCATGAAGCAATGTTATATCTCAGGGAGTATGAAAAAAAAAATTTTTTTTTAAAGCCTGCTGGTCTCCCCAAGTCCCTAAAATGTTGCTGCTAAAATTACTCACTGGAGAGCACAAGAAACACCATAAGGACGCATGGAAAGAGAGCTTCAGCATCAGGGGACACGGATGGAGACAACAGTGTCAGACAGATAGCTGCATTCCGACTCTGGGAGGCAGGCTCTTCTGCTGCCTGAGGGTCCAACACTAGAAGTTATGACACCTAACCTCAGTTCTGCCACCAACTTTTAAAAACGTTTCTATGGGCAAGCCACATTCTTCTTTCAAAGCCTCCCTTTCTAAAAAATGAAGAAGAGTGGAAGGGAATAAATACATCTTTGCCTCCTTTCCTGGTTTGCTTCTCTAGAATCCAAAAGTTGAAGTGATGTCACTGGAAATTTCAGTAGGGAGACAGCTGCAAAGAGCCAGCATCAAACTCAGATACTGCATTTGCCAAAATAAACAATGATAACAGCATTGTGGGGTAGAATAAGTGTTTAAGGAGATGACAGGTTCAAATCCTGGTTCTGCATACTAGACACCTCTCAGCATCTCTTTCCTCATCTGAAAAGTAGGGTTAAAAATAGAACATTGTATAACTGATTCACTTTGTTATAAAGCAGAAACTAACACACCATTGTAAAGCAATTATACTCCAATTAAGATGTTAAAAAAAAGAACATTATCTCTAGTCGTTATGAGAAATAAATAAGATAATCTGCACAAAACACTCAGTACAACATAAGCATGCAATAGTTATTACTATTAACAACATGACTGCTTACTGTGTGTCAGACACTAAGATCTTCATCAGGGCTCTCTCTAATCTATGCTGCACCTAACAAAGCAAAACTCCAGGAGTGGAGCGCGGGAATCTGTTTATACAATAAAATCCAAGAGGATTCTGAGAACCAGTTGGATTTGGCAATCACTTCCCTACCATTCAGTAGCATCTAACATACTTACCTTGTGTTTTGCTCATCTGTTTATCCAGAATTCTCAACAAGGCCTTACCTGGTACAATGCTACTCTAAGATCTCACTTAACTCCTAATGAACTCTAGTCACCCTTCCCCACTTACCACTTCACCCCAACATTTCCAAAGTACAACAAACTGCCAAACCAATTTCCTAAATCAGTGTTTCTAAAAATGGAGTTCAGGTAATACCGGTGATATGGAAAAGGATGTAGACCATGTTTGTTTAAAAAATAATCACATATTTTCCTAAGAACCTTTTAGTTTAAAAGGTACCTTCTATTTTAACACAAGAGCATGGACCCTGGAAGCATACTCAGATCCCAGCTCTGCCACCGGCTAGTTTGTGATCTTGGGCAAGTTATCTGACCTCTACAAAACAGACTGATAATAGTATCTACAGAGTTTACTTCATAGGGTTGTTATGAGAATTAAGTAAGTTATCATATAAAGAGCTTAGAATAAAACTTGGCACATAAGCTTTATAGAAGTATTAGCTATTATTGTTATTCGTGGCAAAAAGTACTGATTTTCCATTTACATAATGATTTAAATGTTCCCCTTAAAATTACTTTTAAAATGAGTTGATGATTTTAAGAATATATAAAGTCAATTAAAGTCAATATTGGTATAGGAGATACAAAGAATACAGTAAAAATCGAGAGGGTGATAGGTAAATTAAATAAAAAACAAAAAACTTGTAGCAGGGGGAAAAGCCAGGAGCTTGGAGAAAAAGATGTTATTAAAAGTAAGGTGCCAAATGCACGTTACAGAAGCCTCATGGAAGTTATTTCTCTTTTCTGGGCCTTGGGTTTCTGATGTGTAAAATGAAAACACTGAGCCCTTCTGGGTCTAGGATTCTGAGGTCTGCATACAAACTACAGTTCCCTTGTTGTATTCAGAACAATTTCCTCACCAGGTAATGACAAAGAAGGCACAGCTCTTGGAGACTAATCACTTGAGTGGGCAGAGGTTTCTTAAAAGTTTGCGTAACAGGGCTTCCCTGGTGGCGCAGTGGTTGGGGGTCTGCCTGCCGATGCAGGGGACGCGGGTTCGTGCCCCGGTCCGGGAGGATCCCACATGCCGCAGAGCGGCTGGGCCCATGAGCCACGGCCTCTGAGCCTGCAGGTCCAGAGCCTGTGCCCCGAAGGGGGAAAGGCAAAAGAAGGAGAAGCCCGGAAAACCACAAAAAAAAAAAAAAAAAAAGTTTCTGTAACAGAGTCTAGCCTATCATACATATGCATCACAGAAAAAAAGAAAAAGAAAGAAAAAGAGAAAAAGAAAAGCGTTGTGAATAGAAAAGAGGTCTCATGTGCAGAAAGCTCTCAAATTGAAAGAAGATATCGGCGAGGGAAGAGAGGAAGAACCATTTGTAAGCATCACCATGCTTTTTTTAAAGCCTGGAAAATATAACTTCGGATTGCTTCTGACTTAGTGCTAAGAAAATAAACAAAACTAAATAGCCAGTCAAAGGTAATACAGTTGTCCCTCCAGGACCCCCAAAGATACCAAAATTCGAAGATGCTCAAGTCCTTTACATTGGTGTAGTATTTACATATAACCTATGCACATCCTCCTGTATACTTTAAGTCATCTCTAGATTACTTATCATACCTAATACAATGTAAATGTTATGTAAATAGCTGCCTGAGAGCAGCAAATTCAAGTTTTGCTTTTTGGAACTTTCTAGTTTTTTTCCTGAATATTTTCAATCCATGGTTAGTTAAATCTGCAGATACATAACCTATGGATAAGGAGGGCCAACCGTATATTGGTGCACACTTTCACTTAAAACTGTGGGGACCCTAAAGGATAAGCAAAAAGAAAGAGGACGGGAAAACAGTTCTTAGTACCTGGACATAAGGTGATCCAAACTGGGAGGAGGATGATTCCCCATCTGCCCGGAAATATACCTGAAAACCATCTTTGCACTTATGCAGGTGCTGAACTCCATTACTTCTTCTCTGACTGTGGCATCTCCTCTTGATTGTATATTTTCTCTAAAATCATGACTGTGAGCCCATCATCAAACTACAACCCACTTCTCTAATCTAGGTTCCAGGTGCTCCTCTTGATATACTTCTTTTCTCCAGCTTAAATGACCCATTTACAGTTCCCAGTAGCCACCCCATGCCTTCCACCTTTGGACTTTTTTTATGTTACTCCCACTGCCTGGAATGCTTGGCCAGTCCATTTCATTTGCATTTCTACAAGTCCAAATTCCACCATAGAGTGGAGAGGCAATATAATGAAGTGTAAGGTCACAAACTCTGGAGCCAGAGTGCCTGAATTCTTATACTTGTTCCACTACTTACCAGCTGAGTACCCTAGGAATGCTACTTAACCTCTCTGTGCCTCATCTGAAACTGGTGAGAATTAGAGTACACAACCTGAAGGGGTTCTGATCAAAATGAATGGGTTAATATACAGAAAGGGCTTGGAGCAGTGCCTGGCACATAGTGAAAGTGTCAGCTATTATGACAGTAACAACAGGAAGATGACGATGATGAGGACGACTATTATACATTGCCAAGGCTCAGATCAAATGCTTTCTCCTCCACAAAGCATTCCCTGAACCTTCTATCTGGAAGAAATCATTATCTCCTTTGAATACTTATAGCACTTTTAACTGTCACCTCTCTTAGAGCACTTCTGTCACTCTTTATATTATTTATACCTATACTGTATCCCTTACTGGACTTTAAGTTTCCTGAGAGCAAAATCCACCTCTGACATGTCTCTTTATCACCCACAGCTCCTAATATGATGCCCTGATCACGTATCTACTCAAACATTTGTGAATGGGTGGATCTGTGGTCATGAGCAGGGCACTTCTGCCAGCTCGCCGAGCCTCCCCACTCTTACCACAACATCTTCCAAGATCTTAGTAGGGCAGGGCCTAGAATGAAATTCAAAGTGTTCATCCTCCAATTTCTTCTTTGACTCTCGCTCCTGGATCCTCTTCTCAATTTCCAAATCAAAGCCAATAGGCTGAGTGGATGGCTTCACAGGCGGTTTCTTAGGCAAGATGGGCCCACCTTCAAGAATTCTGTGATCAAGTTCCTGTGCTTTGAATTTGTATCTGTAAGGTGAGAGTTTAAGTGACAACCACAAAAAATATTTTTTTAATAAAATGAAAACTACATAAACAACAAAGTAAGCCAAAACCAGAAAAATAATACTCATTAAGATTACCCATCATGCACAACAAAATTTCAACTCTCTTCATAGCCACTGTCTCTACCTCTAGAGCAAAGAATAAATGAAGACAGTCTAATATTCCCACCACTTTAAAGATTGCGGTTTCTCTGCAAGAGGAAACCCCCCCTTCTAAAAAGAAGTAAAAGAAGGGGACTTCCCTGGTGGTCCAGTGGTTAAGACTCTGAGCTCCCAATGCAGGGGGTCCAGGTTCGATCCCTGATCAGGGAACTAGATCCCACATGCCACAACTAAAAGAGCCCTCATGCTGCAACTAAGACGTGGCACAGCCAAATAAATAAATAAATATTTTTTTTAGAAAAAGAAAGTGCAAGAAGGAAGAAAGAAGAATACAGGAGACAAACTCTAGCACTAATCACGTTAAGTTCCAGTTCCCTTGGGTAGCCATAAAAGGGTGAGACCTACCTAAATTAACCTCAGAGGACACTCCTTATTGGAATCATAAGTAAGTTCTCCCACTGCAACCTCCACAATAGTGTTTTGCCAGTTTACACTTCAGGACAGCTCCACATTCCCACTTTCAATCCTTTCATCACAGTGGCAAGGCAGAGCCTGTAGCTCAAATGCCATAATTCCCAAGGCAAGAAAAATAGTTAACTGTCCCCCTTACAGAACTGAAAAGAAAGTAGGCACGTTCTTGGAACTCCTCCTCAAACACTGGCAGTGAAACTTACTGCTGCAGTTTCTCGAGCTCCTCAGCCTCCTGTTCTGCTGCACTTTTGTAGGTCACAGGTCTTGCACGCTGTTTGGTTTGCAGCACAGGAGTCTGTGGGTCTCTGCATATCTTGGCCACAGATTTGGAGGGTAACAGAGCTGTAAACCAAGATCATAGACATTAATTTAGCTCTCCAAGACCCCGTTTACCTGTAGGTGCTGACTCAGCTAGGCAGCCCAGAGATGCCAAACCACAGAGTGGCTGGCCCTCTACACTCAGCTCAGCTCATGTCAGTCAATCTGATAAACATTCAGTCCTTTCTCCCCTATCACTCTTTACTGAACGGTATGATGAAGGCAGCCCTTGGGTAAACTCTGCTATCATCTTCTGAATCTGAAATCCATTTACGTCTGATGGATTCCTTTTCACTGCACAGGCCTGTACTGACTTTCTGTTGACAGTGCCAACTATTTTGCTTGTTATTGACAAATAAGATTTTCACTTATTCCAGCTTTAAAATAAGGCCTTTCTAAAGACCAAGTAATAACTCCCAATATTATGAATTCCCTAAAAGTGTCTACATCAAAACATCAAGACCACCTCTCACAGAAAGTCAAATGGAAAAAGTAAGAAAAAACTATGTCAAAGCATCAATATTAAGATCATCACCACCACTCATAGAAAATAATGATTTATCTGGCCAGGAGCAACCTTGTCAATTTTCATAATTATATAGAATGAATCCTCTAATTTAAACCTTAGTACCTAACAGTGGGAGATGGAAACCAAATCTACTTATTTTAGAAATAAGCCAGCCTTCAAGTATACATATAACTATTTTTGAGCTATAACGGTACAAAGTTTTAAATAAAAATTGCAGAAAATAATTTTTCTATTTGCCAGGACCAAGATTCTAAGAGCAATGTATATAAGACTCTAACAGTCATGTATTATTTGGAAAGTCATGGTTAATATTTACATTTCCATTAGAATAAAGAAAGACATTTCATTATTTTCATAATATAAAATCTGACAAATGGTTACTAGAACATAATAACAATATTAGGAAATGATGTCCTTAAAGGAATTCATCTGGCTACCTAACATAGCACTAAATAGTGCCCATGCAAAGGCAGAAAAAATTTAGAAACCTTCAAAGTCAAAACAAACGGATTCTGCTTTATCCAGAATACTACCCTATACTCTTGACAACTATTGTATACCGCACCTCCACTCCTGAAACATCTTTACCTTCTTTTCGTAGGAATTATTTTCATAAAGATAGATGCTATTAGATTAGATTACTCTTATCTGTTCACCACCAAATCTACAAACTCAACAGCACAAAAATATACAATGGAGAAAAGACAGCCTCTTCGTGGTACTGGCACAAAAACAGAAATATAGATCAAACTCAGCAGCACCTGCACCCACTGCTCTCTTCCACCCTCCTTTCAAAGAACAATCACTCCACTTGTGCTGAGTATCCCCCTCCTACCTGCCTGCACAGGGACTTAATCATCGGTCATCTCTTTTCTCTCCTCTATCTTCATCTTCTTTCCCTGCTAAGGACTTCTCAGCATACAGACCTGCTCTCCCTATCTCGCACCTCCCTTGATTCTTACATCTCCCTCCACATGCACAGCACGTACCATAATTTGTAATGATCTGTTTATCTGTCTCACTGAATTAGAAACTTGATATTGAGTAGCACCAAGTCCGTTTTGCTCACTTCTATACTCCCTACACCACACAGAGTGTCTGCTTTGTAGTGGTAAAACATTTATTGAATTGCTGAACAAAAAGCACACAACCTTAAGTGAATGGAATGCTTTCATTTTCTGTGAGTAAATGCACACTGACACATGGTAAAGATAGCCTTGATGTGTAATGACATCTCAGGTTAACTTAATTCCCCTTGGCCAATTATTGATCAGGAGGATCAAGGTGGTTGATGGGTATAAGTGGACAGATAGCTGGGTGGTTTGAGAAATGCTCAACTATGTATACATTTGTTGTCTGCATAAAGGCACATGCCATGCTTTAGTTCAAAAGTGAGGATTTCAACTAAAGGCAAATTTGCACCTAAGATGTAAGGAAAGGGAATTCTAGGGGAGGCTCCAGCAAGGTATGATACTGGAAAGAAACTTACTAATATCATCCTTCTTGCTCCTCAAGTGATATCTGTTAGGGGTTCGTTTATGGAAGGCTTCGACCTGCTGTGCAAGGGGCACATACGTAGAAGCCGTCTCACCAAATGTTCTTTTCTTTCCCTGGGACAGGTTGAAAGGCATAACAATGGTGCATCCCTTAGTCACTCGGGCCTGAAAAGAAAGAAGTTGTTCCCCAAATGAAGTGTTATGGAAGAGCTCAGATCTACTACAAGCCACAGACTCAGTACAGAGGATCAAAAGAAAAAGGGTCGGGGCCTCCCTGGTGGCGCAGTCGTTGAGAGTCCGCCTGCCGATGCAGGGGACACGGGTTCATGCCCCGGTCCGGGAAGATCCCACATGCCGTGGAGCGGCTAGGTCCATGAGCCATAGCCGCTGAGCCTGCGCGTCCAGAGCCTGTGCTCCACAACGGGAGAGGCCACAACAGTGAGAGGCCCGTGTACCGCAAAAAAAAAAAAAAGAAAGAAAGAAAGAAAGAAAAAGGGCCTGTGTAAAGCCAAGATTATTCTTCTTCTTAAGTTGTCAGGGTTATAAACAGTCTATTCCCATCTTTTAAAAAGGGGGAGAGGGGAACTGACGGCCCGGTGGTTAGGACTCTGTGCTTCCACTGCAGGAGGTGCAGGTTCAATACCTGGTTGGGGAACTAAGATCCCACAAGCCACACAGCGTGGCCAAAAAAATTAAAAAATAAAAATAAAATGAAAAGGGGGAGAAAGCATCTAGCACTTAACAAATTATCTGTTCTGTAAGAGTACATAAGGTGATTTTTCCCAAGCATGTTAATGTTTTGAAGCAATCAAGAGCAAGTTTTCTTAGAAGCGAAAAAAGCTGCAAAGGTATCCCATCCCCAGTCCCATTTAAAAAATTTTAATTGGGCTTCTGGACCTGAATCAGGTCAGGCAGCTGCCTGAATCAAATTCTTTCCACACATCCTACCAAAAACTGACTGATGAAGAAGCCTACTCTTTGGGTCATTAATTTTGATAAAATTGGTCTCTGATTGGAAACAAAACTCTTCAAGGACTTACATCCCAAAGGAAGAAGCACAACCCCAAGATTTAAGACTGCAAAGGACTGACTTCAACAAGTCATGATGGTGACTGCAAATGCAAGGAGAAATTCTTAGTGCTAGGATTTTTATTTAGGATTGTTACTGTTTTTGTTAGTGCTCTGATAACAAAACTGGATTTGAGTGGTCTGCCCCAATCCCATTTTCCCCATAAACCCTGTTATATTTTGCACACAACTTTGCAGACACAAGATTTTTTCAAAAATTTTGTTATAGCACAAGCTGTAACAAGCCTGTACCTACAATTTGCCACACATAATTCTATGTGTTTTGTGTACATTCTCAATTCAGTTTTCACAGCAACTTGATAAGATGCTTCCCAGAGACACAGAGTGATTTATCCAAGATTACACAGCTAACAGGGGCAAAGTGAGGATTCAGACCTATCTTAACTCAAAAACATATGCTCCTCTCAATTATATTATTGTAACTAAGTGACCACAAATATTACACCAGAATCCTCACTGAATTATTAACAAGAATATTAATTTAGTCTATCAACTTACAGGAGATGGAGGATGCTTTCGCAGTTCAGATGTAAAGTTCACTTCCTTATACTCCTCCTGGTTCTTAGGATGTTGTTTGATTCGCTCATCTGTGAGGAAGTGGAAGTCAACTGATTTGGTTACCTGGCTCACTGATTTCTTCACAGGGAGCCCTGAGTGAGGAGCAGAGTAAAACACACAGATAACACTAAGAATAGAGAACATAAAGTAAGTCCCCTTTTATCCAGTCCTTTTGGTATTTCTATTACCATGGATCTAACTTTGTTTAGTCTCTACATATAAGCCAACACTTGAAACAGTCCTCAGGGACACCAATATATGTGCCTTATTCATTTAGTACTATTGGGTTTGAGGCCTTTCCGTCAGAGGCAAACTGTTATAAGGTAGCACAGGGGAGAAGAATCCCACCTCCCAGTTGTGGTCATAGCTCTGGAGACAGAGAAACTGGAATACTTTTGATAGGAAAAGCTATGAATTGACTTTAAAAGCACACTTAACTAAGCATTTCTAAGAAGGATACCCTATAAACTCCAGAGATGCTTTTCAACCCAATAAGCAGAGCTTCACAGCTTTGACTCCACCAATGATAATTATGCCAAAGCAAAGCAGAACTCTGATCCCTTCAGCTCTCTCAGTTATACTTTCCTCCATAACTACAACTGGATTCACTCAGCTGTCTTTTCCTCTGACTAGGATAAAATGGGAAGACAATAACAAAAAGCTGGTCTGCCCAATTGTTCTATCTTCTGTCTCAATCCTAGTTCCTTCTTATTCTAATACAAAGAAAAAGAATTAGGAGAAAAAAGGAGGGAGGAATTAACTCCACTTAGAGAAAGGAGGTAAGGACTCATGGAAAAAGGCCTCAAAAGACGGGTGTGACTTCTTCAGTTAGAGATGGAGAGGAACAGCATACTCTAAGAAAGGACCAACATATGTAAAATGTTCTAGGGAATGATCACTGGGATATGAATGGTACCCATGTCCAGGTTTCTAAATAAACACATCTTTTTATGCTGACTACTGACCAAGAAAGACTTTTGTGCTTTAGAGACTTCAAAAACCCTACCAAGATTATGAGAAGCACCCCCTCATAAATCAGACTCAATCAGAACCAAGCTGACCTGCTCCTGCAAGAGCAAATTTTTTGAATTCTTCATTCTTTTTCCGCATCTCTACCACCTCTTGCTGCATTTTCATTCTCTTCTCCAACTCTTGCTCCTCAGTACTTTTTAGAATCTTCTGCCTAAAAGGCAAATCAGTAAAGGAGATGAGAGAGGAGAGGAGAGGAGAAAGTGACTCAGTGGTTAAAAAATTTAAAGGCATTATATAGATTAGATTTTTAACCTGTGATAAAATAACCATCAAAACCAAAAAGTATTACCTAATAAATTGATATTAACTTAGATAACACTATGAAAAAAAGATACAAAATTTATTCCAAAATATTGAAAAAGTTTCCGAAAAAACAGCTAAAATAGACTATAGAAGATATTATAAAATATCCACAAATTTGACTATATAATGATTAACTTTTATGCCACAAGAAAAACTAAAACTAAAATACCAGTAGTAATTCTTTCAACAAACATGGCAAGAGGTTAATATACATAAAATATATACTGTGATAGAGAGAACAGACTTAGGAGTAAAGCCATCCAGAATTCAAATCCCAACCCTGTTGTTTCATTTTCTGCCTATGTGATCTTGAGAAAACTATTTAACCTCTGTGAGCCTCAGTTTTCTCCAATGTAAAATGGGTAATATGAATACTTGTTCTCACAGAATACTTGTGACTATTAAATCAGATAATGTTTCTGAAATACTGGACACATAGCAAAAGTTCAATTTAAAGTAGCCATTCTTAAAAAGCCAATAACAATAAAATAAAGTAGCCATTCTTAGTAATGAGAACATCACTAAGACCACTTATAGATAAATAGAAAAGGAAAACAGATGATTCACCCAAGAGGAACTTTGGAAAAGATGCTTACAATAACAGTTACACAATCTTGTCAGCAAACACATAAAAATTAAAATAATCTGAGGCCATCAACATATCAGTTAAATTTGAAACAATTTTTAAAGTAAAAAAAATTCAATGCAGATGAGACTACAAGGAAATAAAAATATTCATTCAAAGTTGATGGCACTGTAAATTCACACATTCATTTTGGAAATAAAATTAGCAATAAATATCAATAGCCAGAAAACTGACCATAATCTTAGATCAAGGAATTCCTCTTTCCTTATCCTGAGGAGACTAGTCAAAGAAAAGGATCTGCCTGTAAAGATGTTCATTGATTCCTTATAATAGTGAAAAATCGGAAACAGCATTTTCAACAGGAAATAGTTAAATATAATCTGATAGAATGCTAACAATCTATCAAAAAAAGGGTAAATGTGAAGATTTTGTAGCAGTACAGAAAGTAAAATAGTCTCATAGCGAGTGAATAAAGCAGAACCCAAAGATTGCTTATACACTGATTGTAAAAATATGTATTTTACTTGAGTAAAGTCCAGGAGGGAGCTTGGCAAAATAAAAACTGTTCAATTTAGGTAGTAAGAACCTTCACTAACTTTTTCCTTCTATATTTCTTTTACGTTTGTTTTAATAGTTAATTTTTTTCAATCTATAACACTCAAGCACCCACAAGGACATAAAACAATTTACCTTACCATGGTTACGGCTTTCAGAGTTTCCCAAGCTCCATGTGCATCAAACAGACTGTAGATGTACCCATTTGTAATTTTGTGTGTGTGTGTGTGGTACGTGGGCCTCTCACTGTTGTGGCCTCTCCCGTTGCAGAGCACAGGCTCCGGACGCGCAGGCTCAGCAGCCATGGCTCACGGGCCCAGCCGCTCCGCGGCATGTGGGATCTTCCCGGACCGGGGCACGAACCCATGCCCCCTGCATCGGCAGGCAGACTCTCAACCACTGTGCCACCAGGGAAGCCCCCCCCCATTTGTAATTTTACTCTACTGACTCTAAAGCTGAAATTCAGGATAGAATCATACCTTACAGGTGGGATACAAGGCACAGTATGTCTGCCCTTGGCTTTCTCTGGGGAAGACTCATTCTTTTCAGAAGTATCTTGATGAGCACTGCCCTCTTCCTCTTCCTCTGGCTTCTTTTTATTGTGAGAACTTGAGTTGAAAAGGACAAAAAATAACCTCTCAATTCCCTACAGCATATCCTGCTCTACCCTCCTCCCCAGATCTACCACACATGGCTTAAATTTTCTCATTCTTTAGGACAAAAACCATGTTTCAACAGCAAGATTCTTCCAATAGTATCATCAGATCATATATACCAATGGCTACAATGGGTAAACTTTGAGAATGCCAATAGAAGTCAGGGTAAGAGCTGTCTGGTGATGGTTCAGGAGGGTAGGAAGAGATTCCAACCGCTCATCACCAAATGAACAAATGCCAGACAGCTAGTTGTCTTCTCAATATTTATTCTACTTTCTTATTAGCAGAACCCCAATTTTGCTTGGGGCAGCAATGTATGAAGGCAGAAGTATTGTACTTGCTTCAACGGTCTCTACTGCAACTAGAGGGGATCTAATTTACAGTTCAGTCAACTGAGGCATAACATAAGCGTTTCTGGAAAATACTTCACTTTCCTGATATGGGTGCTGCCCCTCTTTCTTTGCCAGACCCTTCTTCTTCCTCTCTCAAACATGGATATGATACCTAGAGATATAGTAGCTATCTTCAGATAATGAGGCAACAAGCACTAAGAAGAAGCTAAGAAACACAGAGCAGCCATCTTGAGCAACAAGTATGAAAAAAAAACCTAAGACTCAAAGAGATGTCATTGAACCAAAGCAAACTACTTTCAGACTTCTGTGAAGCAAATAAATCACTATTCTTTAAACCTCTATAGTTAAATAGAGAGGTCTTATTACCTTCAGCAAAATACATTCCTAACTGATAAAAATAAGAACAAGCACCACGTATTCTGCTTGCTATTACCATAGGAGCAAACGGAGTAAAATCTATGTCAACAGACAGAAGCTGTGGCTACTTACACTCTCATTTTTTTGGTGGGTGGAATTTCATTGACGATTACAGGAGTAGCACATCTCTTGGCTTTCATTTGTACATGATGTTTTTCTTTCTGTTCCAAATTCTTCTGAGCAGAGAGTCTAAGAGATCTTCTATGGTAGAAGAATTGACAAAACTTATTTGTAATGAATACATCTACTATATATGCAAATACTCCTCAGAAATGTGAAAATATGTCAAACTACAAAGGGCTATAAAAAGTGGTATTATTTCTGCTCTAAAAAAAAAGTGGCATTATTTCTGCTCTAAAAATCTAATACCTTCTTGTCTTACTGATAGTTTTTGAAAAGTCACCATAAAATGTTGGTACTTAAGTGCATTGGTGTTTGTAAATTAGACCTCAATAGAGCTGATTTAATTTTGTAAAAAAGCATTGGCAATCACCTAGTACAACTCCCTCCTTTTGGAAGTATGAGTAAAAGTAAAAAAAGATGAGGTGACTTGACCCTGTAACACAGCTAATTGCTGTCAGACTTAAAATTAGAAATCAGATCTCCTGGAAATTTACTACCAAGTGTTTATTTTCTCCACTTTCTTTTAGCCATGGCCCCCTATTTTTGTTAAAATATATAACACATAACAAAAAGTACACAAAACAAAAATTAAGTTAGGTGATTACAAAGTGAAGACTCATGAAATCACCACATAGACTAAGAAACAAAACACTGGCAGCAGATGCTATCTTGACTTTTACAGTAATGATTACTTTTTCTTTATCATTTTACCTTACAAACATGCATTCCATAAACATGGTCTGTTAGCTTGGAAAGGAAACAAAAAACGTTATGTAATAATCAGACTACTGCAAGCATTTTTTCTGTCTTGCTTTATTTTACTCAACATTATGCTTGTGAGATTCAACCACACTGACTCACGTAGTTCGAATTCACTGACTTTCAATGCTGTGTAACATTCATTGTAGGAACATACCATTATTTATCCAGCTTACTGTTGATTCTCACATAATGTCTTTTGATGTACACATTGCTGTTGTAAGATTGCTAGGTCACTGATAGACATTGGTTTATCAACTAAAGTTATTTTCCAAGGTGCCTGTACCAAATTATGCTTACACTGACTAATTTACAAAGTCTACACTGCTCTACATTCTCCAAAACAGTTAGTATTGTCGGATGACTTAATTTTAATCATATAAATTGGTATAGAGTAGAAACTCATTGTGGTTTTAATTTGCTTTTCCCAGTGAGACTGAGCACCTTTTCACGTGTTTACTGGCCATTTGGCCATCCTCTTTCATAAAGTGCTAGTTAAGTCTCCTGGTTGTTTTCTACTGCATTGTCAATCCTTTTCTAATTGATTAGTAGGAATTCTTTATATTCTGTGAATATGAGGCCCTTTGTAGGTTTTTAGTGTTACAAATATCTCCTCCCAATCTGAGGCTTGGCTTTTCACTCTCCTTATGGTATCATCTGATTAGACAAATATGCTCAAATACAACAACCTCCTTCCCTAAAAGCATGTCAGTGTTTTTCTGTGTGGATTCTATTTAAGAAATCTTTCCCTATTCCAAGGTCATGAAGATATTCTCCTATATTTCCTTACATGAGCTTCAGCTTTCACATTTAGATCTACAATCCACCTTGTACTGTCTGATTCCTATGGAGTGAGGTAGGGGCTAATTCTCATTTTGTTTTATGTGGCTATCCATTGTCCAATCATTGTTTATTGAAGCGGGGAAAAATAAAAACACCCTCTCCCCAAAGGTCTGCAGTACCACATTTGTCATATATTGTGTCCATATATGAGAGAGTAAGCTTTTATTTGATTCCATTGGTCTCATTTATCCTTGGGTAATACCACAAAGTCTTAATTACTGTAGCTTTATAATATTGCCATCTACTAGACACTTCAAAAGTATTTTGACTATTCTTGGACCTTTGCATTTCTGTATAAATTTTAGCATCAATTTATCAATGTCCAAAATGAAAACCTTTGGGATTTTTGTAGAGATTGCATTGAATCTATACATCAGATAAGGAGATTTGACATATTTACATTACTGAGTCTCTCAAACCATGAACATGGTTATGTCCTGCCATTTATTTAGATCTTGTTTAATTTCTCTCAAGTCTTAAGATGTATTAGTATATATTCAAATTTTTATTAGATTGCATAGAGTACCTAATTTTAAAATCTTTATCATAAAGAATTTAAAACTTAGTAAAAAGTGAAGAGAATAATATAATGAACCACCAGGTACTACTCATCATTCAGCTTTAAAAATTTCAACTTATAGCCAATCACACTGTCAATTTTCCCTCCATCCACGCCCGCCTAGCTTTTGAAGCAAATCCCAAATTTCAGATCTTTCATCTGCAAATAGTTTCATATCAATCTCTAAAAGTACTCATAAAAACAATTACATGGAATAATGCAGAGTGCATTTATCATGCAAATCTTCTTGCATATTATTACAAAATGTACACAATATATAAAAATATGACTACTTGAAGGCACTGAAAAGTGACCAAAAGCAGGCAGAAAAAAGAGAAACATTTATCCATGAAAAGCAACTACAAAGGTTAAGAGTTATGAGTTAGTAGCTTTTTTGCCTGAGGGCACACCGCAAATGCGGCAGCTCCAGCAGCAGAAAACTCTAATCGCACTGGCCGTAGATAACGAAAGATAGAATTCAGGCCAGTACAGCAGCTGGAAACAGGAGGAAAGTCCCGGTAGTGAAAGAGCTACAGAAAAGGTATCACCCAAAGTCTGAGCCAAAACTCTGCACAAATTCCTATGTATTACTATATATGCTAACTATGCATGTTTAGAGGAGACTGGGGGGCCCAGTGAAAAAGCAGAAACTGGTGAGGTGTCCATCCTTAAAAGACATAAATGCACTAGGTAAGACACTGGTGAGTTCACTGGTTTTTATTTGATTCAGTGCATTCCCCAATGTGTATATAGTAGAATGGCACACAGCTAAAGTCTTACTAGCTTTAGGTATCAGAAGACAAACACTAGGGCTGGCAAAACAACTGGAAATTTAGAGGGAAAATGAGAAGCAAGAGAACCAGAGAGGATGAACACTTAAGCCTGAGTATAAACTCTACTCGGTCCTGGCTGACCACTAACATTTTCAGGCACAGGGGAGACTCCAGGGAGCCAGACTAAAAAAACAACTGTATATGCAGATATATGAATGGCCAGTAATCAAATGAAAATGTGATCAACATCATCAGTCATCAGAAAAATACAAATTAAAAACACAATGAGGGACTTCCCTGGTGGTTCAGTGGTTAAGAATCTGCCTGCCAATGCAGGGGACACGGGTTCCAGCCTTGGTCCGGGAAGATCCCACATGCCGCGGAGCAACTAAGCCCATGTGCCACAGCTACTGAGCCTGTGCTCTAGAGCCTACGAGCCACAACTACTGAGCCCACGCACCTAGAGCCCGTGCTCCACAACAGGAGAAGCCACCGCAATGAGAAGCCCGCGCACCACAACGAAGAGTAGCCCCTGCTCACTGCAGCTACACAAAGCCTGAGCACAGCAACGAAGACCCAAAAAATAAATAAATAAATAAATTTATTTTTTAAAAAATACAATGAAATATCATTAAAGAGACTGACAATACCAAGTGTTGGCCAGGATATGGAGCAACTGATACTCTCATATACTGCTAATGGGAATGTAAAATGGTACAGTCACTTTGGAAAAATTCTGTTTCTTATAAACATACACTTAGCAGTATGGTCCAGCAATTTCACTCCTAGGTATTCACCCAAGAGGAACACGTCTTCACAAAAATCTATAGGCAAACTACTCATAGCAGCTTTATTTATAATAACGCCAAACTGGAAACGACTCAAATGTCCTCAACTGGTTAATGGATAAACTGTGGTATATCCATCCAACAGAATTTATTATCAGCAATAAAAAGGAACAAAATATTAATATATGCAATGACATGAATGAATCTCAAAAGCACATGCTAAGTGAAAGAACTCAGATATAAAAGAGTACATACTATACAATTCCATTTATAAAAATATCTAGAACAGGCAAAGTTAATCTATGGTGACAGAAATCAGAACAGTGGCTGCCTCTGGGTGGGAGGCGGGAAAGTGAGAAGGCAGAAAGAACAGTAAAAGTTGAATTTAAAGGGAGAGGAATAAGGGAATGTTCTGAGGTGATGGAATCTGTTCTATATTGGTATCATGGCTGCATTATAGACTTGTCAAAACTAATCAGACTGTGCCCTCAAGAGCTGTACATTTTACTATATGTAAATTATACCCCAATAAAATTAGTTAATTTTTTTTTAAATGGACAGGGTTTCATTAAAAATTAGAAGGAAAAAAAAAAAAAATTAGAAGGAAAGAAGGCAACGTACATGAAGACATGGCCATTTTGGACCACTACTTAAATTCAATATACAATGATATTATAAAGTCAAGAGAAGAATTGCTGAATGTCTTTAGGGAGAAGTTGCTAAGGGATGAGACTATAAAAATTAAAACATATATGTGGGGCTTCCCTGGTGGCGCAGTGGTTAAGAATCTGCCTGTCAATGCAGGAGACACGGGTTCAAGCCCTGGTCCGGGAAGATCCCACATGCTGCAGAGCAACTAAGCCCGTGCACCACAACTACTAAGCCTGCACTCTAGAGCCTTCGAGCCACAGCTACTGAAGCCCGCACGCCTAGAGCCCGTGCTCCGCAACAAGAGAAGCCACCACAATGAGAAGCCCGTGCACTGCAACAAAGAGTAGCCCCGCTCGCCACAACTAGAGAAAGCCCACGCACAGCAACAAAGACCCAACACAGCCAAAAATAAATAAATAAATAAATTTATTTTTAAAATATATGTGGTAAAGCAACACCTGCATGGAAAAATTATTATTATAGACTAAGGCCTTATTGACTTTTAACTATTCTGAGTCAAAGGAGTTTTGGCCATCTTTTAGCTTATCCATCAAAATCATGTGAGAAGAAAATAGTAGGAAATTTGTATGATTATCTATACCTTCCTATTCCATCTGCTCTTCTTTTCTAGATTAGGCATCCCTAGACTAAGATAAATCTGAGATCTAAGATAAATGGCACTAATGTTTTACCTCTTTATGCATTTTCATAATGCAGTCTAATTTACAAACTACTACCACATGTTATCCTATTTGGCCATTTCTTGCAATAAGCCTGAGAGAGACGGTTATTCTCAGTAAACTAAGGTTTTGAGTAGTAGAGATACCTGCCTTTAAAACAAACGAAACAAAAACAATTCAGATCTTCTGATTCTGTGAACAGCTGGCTTTCTGTCATACCATCATTTCCAAAAAGCATTCAAAAATTCATTCAGAATGTGGGCCAATTTTAGTAATATACATATTCAAAATGCAGAAGCCAAGACACTAGCACTATCTTGGACTCTGAAGGAATCTATAGGATACTGGGTCCCTTTTCCATAGGGACTTAACAATCTAAACATGGAACAGAAACCATAGAATCAACCTGTAGCAATCTCTTAAATTTCCTGTGATAGCTGGTTGAATCTCACAGAATTTTTCAATTAAAAGGGGCTTCTTCACCAGAAAAGATTAAAATAAGCATGTATGATACCAACTTCAAAAGGTGATCCCCTTATACCAGCATGAGGGTTTGTAAAAGGTAATTTCATTACTTCTGAGCAATAGTATTATAAATACTCTGCCATTCCTCAATATTGTTGACATCAAAGTATAAAGCATTAAATAGTTCTGGAATTTATTTATTTATTTTTAAATATGTATTTGTTTATTTGGCTGCACCGGGTCTTAGTTGTGGCACTTGGGATCTTCATTGCAGCATACGGTTCTTTTAGTTGTGGCATATGGAATCTTTAGTTGTGGCATACGAACTCTTAGTTGCAGCATGTGGGATCTAGTTCCCTGGCCAGGGAACCAACCCGGGACCTCTGCATAGAGAGCGTGGAATCTTAGCCACTGGACCACCAAGGAAGTCCCCAGTCCTGGAATTGAAACTCTATGGGTGAGTGGTAATTACTAGATGGTGAAAGTTTTTTTTTTTTTTTGGCCATGTTGTGCGGCTTGTGGAATCTAAGTTCCCCAACCAGGGATTGAACCCAGGCCATGGCAGTGAAAGTGCTGAGTCCTAACCACTGGACCACCAGGAACTCCCAAGTGAAAGTTTTTAAAAATCTAATTCAAATAATCTTTTGATTAGTGCCATCTGAAGGCAACTAATATTAAGACTAACAGCTTTGTTTTGGTTAAAAAGAGGATACTGATATAAAGTGCAGCATTCAAAGACATTGGATTTTCAGAGGTTCCTAGTGCCAAGAGTACAGCTTACCCCACCCATCCATCCACCCCTTCACTCAAGACTTTATTCAGCTTTGCTCCTGCAAGACACTGTTAGGTACTAGGGATACATGACACTTGCCCTTATGAAGTTTATTTACAGCCTATACACAGGAAAAAAAAAAAACCTGCCACATATCCATACAAATAAATGTAAATGGCAGCCCATGTTGAACCTTTGCAAATAGCAAGGACTTTGGAACCAAAGTGATCAGTCTGAATCCTGTCTCTGAAATAAATCTGCCTTGGGCAAGCAACTTAGTACATCTGAGCCCTTGTCTATAAATTAAGCATGTTACCTACAACTCATAAATGTTATGAAGATTAAATAAGGTAACATGAAGAGTCTAATGTAGTAATGGAACACATAGTAGGTGCTCCAGTAACTCTTCTTTGAACGTTATTAATATAACCACCACTTCTGAACACCAAAACAGTCTTACCTCTGAGGCTGAGCTAGAATATTTCTTGATGTGGTTCCTTTGACTTTCAGAGAAGAACAAGCATTTGTTGGAATGGACTCTTCCACCAGGTTTTCTTTTTCTGCCTCTTTGTTATAAGTGTTGTCAACTGCAAGAGAGCAAAAACTAGTCAGTCCTCAAATCCCAAGGAAATGAGTTGGAGATGAGAGATACATGTGTATATATATGACTTAATACAGAATTCTAGATTGTAAATTGTGTGTGTATGTGTGTGTGTATCCCTCCTAAGCAGTGAAATCTTATGCAGAAGAGCAATTTATAAAAGCTACTTTGGTTGAAGCAGAAATGAAGTATCCAGGGCCCTGCTTATTTGCCAGCCTAAGGCATCACCTCAGAAAAAAGTATCCCAAACACATTCTTATGACTTTTCTTTAACATCTTCTCATGCCATTTTAAAAAGATAAAATTCTGAAAGCTTCCATAGAGAAAAAGAAATCACCTAAGGAAGGAAAATAGGGTAGCTGAATTCCTCATCAGTAACACAGGACGATAAAAGATAACAGAATAATGCCTTCAGAGGAGTCAAGAAAAAAATCTTTTAATCTGCAATTCTATATTAAAAGTAGCAAGGAAAAAGCAACAAGTTACATACAAGGAAATTCCCATAAGGCTATCAGCTGACTTTTCAGCAGAAACTGCAGGCCAGAAGGAAGTGGCACAATATATTTAAAGTGATGAAAGGGAAAAAGCTACAACCAAGAATACTTTACCCAGCAAGGCTCTCATTCAGATTTGATGGACACATCAAAAGTTTTACAGACAAGCAAAAGCTAAAAGAATTCAGCACTACCAAAGGCAGCTTTATAAGAAATGTTAAAGGGACTTCACTAAGTGACAAAGAAAAGACCACAACTAGAAACATGAACATTACAAAAGGAAATATCTCATTGGTAAAGGCAAATATACAGTAAAAGTAGTAAATCAACCACATACAAAGCTAATAGGAAGGTTAAAAGACAAAAGTAGTAAAATCATCTGTATCTACAATAAGCAGTTAAGGGATACACGAAACAATTAGATGTAAAATATGATGTCAAAACAGTAATCATAAGGGGAGGACAGTACAAATGCAGGGTTGTTAAAATGCATTTGAAATTATGAGATCAGCAACTTAAAATAATCAAAGAGATATACAGATTGATAAATATAAACCTCATGGTAATCACAAACCAAAAATCTATAATAGATACACACACACACAAAAAGAGAAGGAATCCAAATATAACACTAAAGACAGTCATCAAACCACAAGGGAAGAGCACAAAAAAAGAACAAAGGAACAAAACCTGACATACAAAAACAACCCCAAAACAATTAACAAAATGGCGATAAGTAGATACATATCAATAATTACTTTACATGCAGATGGACTAAATGTTCCAATCAAAAGACACAAAGTGGCTGAATGGATACAAAAACAAGACCCATAATATATATGCTGCCTACAAGAGACTCACTTCAGATCTAAAGACACACTCAGACTGAAGGTGAGGGGATGGAAAAGAGTATTCCATGCAAATAGAAATCAAAAGAAAACGGGGTGTCAATAATTATATCAGACAAAATAGACTTTAAAACAAAGAATGTTACAAGAGACAAAGAAGTACACTACATAATGATCAAGGAATCAATCCAAGAAGAAGATATAGCAATTATAAATATATATGCACCCAACAGAGAACCACCTAGATACATACAGCAAATATTTACAGACAGAAAGGGAGAAATTGACAGTAACACAATAACAGTAGGGGACTTTTAACACCCCACTTATATCAATGAACAGATCATCCAGACAGAAAACCAGTAAGGAAACACTGGCCTTAAATGACACATTAGACCATATATATAGAGAGAAAACATTCTATCCAAAAGCAGCAAAATACATATTCTTTCCAAGTGCACATGGAACATTCTCCAGGATAGATCACATGCTAGGCCACAAAACAAGTCTTGGTAACTTTAAGAAAACTGAAATCATATTAAGCATCTTTTCTGACCATAACACTATGAGACTAGATGTCAGCTATAAGAAAAAAACTGCAAGAAACAAAAACACATGGAGTCTAAACAATATGCTACTAAACAACCAATGGATCACTGAGGAAATCAAAGAAGAAATCAAAATATACCTGGAAACAAATGAAAACAAAAACACAACAATCCAAAAATCTATGGGATGCAGGAAAAGCGGTTCTAAGAGGGAAGTTTATTGCAATAGAAGCTTACCTCAGGAAACAAGAAAAATCTCAAACAACCTAAGCTTACACCTAAAGGAACTAGAAAAAGAAGAACAAACAAAACACAGTTAGTAGAAGGAAAGAAATCATAAAGATCAGAGCAGAAAGAAATGAATAAATGGAAATAAGTGAAATAGAGACTAAAAAAAATAGAAAAGATCAATGAAACTAAGAGCTGGTTCTTTGAGAAGATAAATAAAATTGATAAACCTTTAGCCAGACTCTTCAAGAAAAAAAGAGAGAGGGCCAAAATCAATAAAATCAGAAATGAAAAAGGAGAAGTTACAACTCGCACCACAGAAATACAAAGGATCATAGGAGATTACTACAACCATCTATATGCCAATAAAATGGACAACCTAGAAGAAATGGACAAATTCCTAGAAATGTAAAATCTCCTAAGACTGAACAAGGAACAAATAGAAAATATGAAGAAACCAATTACTAGCAATGAAATTGAATCTGTAATTTTAAAAAAACTCCCAACAAACAAAAGTCCAGAACCAGATGGCTTCACAGGTGAATTCTGCCAAACATTTAGAAGAGGTAACACCTACCCTTCTCAAGCTATTCCAAAAAACTGCAGAGGAAGGAATGCTTCCAAACTCATTCTATGAGGCCAGCATCACCCTGGTACCAAAACCAGACAAAGATACCATAAAAAAGGCCAATATCACTGATGAACATAGATGCAAAAATCCTCAACAAAATGTTAGCAAACCAAATCCAACAATATATTAAAAGGATCATACACCATGATCAAGTGGGATACCATATCTTCTTTATCCATACCACATACCACATACCACTATAAGGAGAAATAAACAAATCCACAATTATAGTCTAAAATTTCAATACCTCTCTCTCTAATTGATAGAACAAGTTGACAGAAAAATCAGTAAGAGTATAACAGCCACAAATAATATATAAGCAAATGAGCATGGCTGTATTCCAATAAGACTTCATTTACAAAAATACGTTGTGGTCAAATTATCATGAAGATGTAACAATTACAAACATATACATACCTAACAACAGAGACCCAGATACCCGAAGCAAAAACTGACGAAACTCAAGGGAGAAATAGCCAATTCGGCAATAATAGTTGAAGACTTCAATATCCCTACTTTCAATAATGGACAGAGCCATCAGATAGATAATCAATAAGGAAACAGAAGACTTGAGCAACACTATCAACCAACTTGACCCAACTGACATTTATGTAACTCTCCACCCAATGACAGCAGAATACACGTTTTTTTTTTAAGTACACCCAAGTACATTTACCAAGACAGACCATATTCTGGGCCATGAAACAAGTCTCAATACATTTAAAAGAGTTCAAGTCATACAAGTATGTCCTTTCACCACAGTGGAAATCCCCCAAGAAATCAATAAAAGATAAGATTTTTGGACCCCCCCCACCCCAAATATTTGGAAATTAAATAACACACAGGTAACTAGCAACTAATAGATAAATTAAGTCCTGGAGATCTAAATGCATAGCATAAATGTTATAATCAACAATACTGTATTATGAACTTCAAAGTTGATGAGACTAGATCTTAATTGTTCTCATCACAAAAGAAATGATAATTATGTGATATGATAGAGGTATTAATTACATTGCACTATATAAATGCATCAAATCAACACTCTGTACACCTTAAACTTACACGATGTTATAAGTCAATTATATTGCAATTAAAAAAAAACACATAGGTCGGGACTTCCCTGGTGGTCCAGTGCTTAAGAATCCGCCTTCCAATGCAGTGGACGTGGGTTTGATCCCTGGTCTGGGAACTAAGATCCCACATGCCACTGGGCAACTAAGCCCACGCGCTGCAACTACTGAGCCCACGTGCTCTGGAGCCCATGCAGCACAACTAGAGAGCCTGTGCACCACAACTAGAGAAGCCCGCGCAGCCAAAATAAAAAAACAAACAAAAAAACCACACAGGTCAAAGATCTCAAAAGGGAAATTAAAAGTATTTTGAATGGAATGAAAATAAAAACATAGCATTTCAAATTTATGGGATGTGGCTAAAGCGGTACTTAGGGGATATTTACAGCAGTAAACACATTAACAAAGAAGAAAGATTTCAAATCAATGGCTTCAGCTGCCACCTTAAGAAACTTTATATATATATTGAACCCCAAAGTAAATAGAAGGGAAATAATAAAGAACAGAATGGAAATCAATGAAATAAAAACCAGAAAAACAATAGGAAAAAAAAAACAAAACAAAACCAATGAAGCCAAAAGCTGGTTCTTTGAGAAGATTATTAACACTGATAAATCTTTAGCCAGACTGATTAGGAAAATAGAGAGAGATGACACAAATTACCAATATCAGAAGTGAAAGAGGTGATATCACTACAGAATTTATAAGTATCAAAAGGATAATAAGGAAACATTATGAACAACTTTTTGCCTATAAATTCAACAACTTGGATGACACAGACAAATTACTTGAAAGACAAACTACCAAAGCTCATTCAAGAAAAAACAGATAATTGATATCTGTTAAAGAAATTGAATTTTTAGTTAAAAACCTTCCTGCAAAGAAAACTCCAGACCCAGATGGCTTCACTGGTGAATTCTACCAAACATTTAAGAAAGATGTAATATCTATTTTACACAAATTCTTCCAGAGAAATGAAGACAAGGGAATATTTATAGAGTAAGGCCAACATTATTCTATCAAAATCAAACAAACGTATCATAAGAAAGGAAAACTACAGATCATTATTCCTCATGAACATAGATGAAAAAATTTTTAACAAAAAAATGTAGCAAACTGAACTTAAAATATATATAAAAAGAAAAATACCATCCTGACCAATTGGGGGTTCATCCCAGAAATGAAAGGTTGGCTTAAAATTGGAAAATCAGCATAACTGAGCATAGTTAAAGAATAAAAGAAAAAAGAAAAAAAATCATGTAAACTTCCTAATAAATGCAGAAAAAGCATTTGAGAAAATCCAGCTTCCATTACTATAAAAATTATCAGCAAAATAGGAATAGAAGGGAAATTCCTCAGCCTGATAAAGGGCATCTATGAAAAAACTACAGTTAACGTCATACTTAATGGTGAAAGCCTGAATGTTTTTGCCGTAAGATCAGGAATAAAACAAGCATGTCTACTTCTCTACTCCTATTCAGCATCCTACTAAAGGTGCAGTATGCAAGAAAGAAAAAGAAACAAAAGGCAGATAACATAATCACCTTTGTAGAAATCTGATGGAATCTACAAAAAAGATACAAACACTACTGAGTTTAGAAGATTGTAGGATATAAGATCGACATAGAAAAATTAATTGTATTTCTTTGTACTAGCAACACAATAGAAAGTTGAAATCAAAATAGAGGTCTGAAAAGTGCTTTGAGAACACAGATAAGGGGAATCAATTAGAGAAAAAAAGATATTTGAGCTGGAACTTGAATGATAAGTAAGGACTTCTCAGTTAGATTAAAGGTATTCAAGGCAGAGGGAATAGCACTGAGACAGGTAAGAATGTGTGCTAACAAAGAACAAAAGGACTCTGCGGGGCCCAAGAGGTATACATGCATGGAAGCAGTGTACATGGCCTTTGCCACATGATGGGCCATGCAGAGGTCTCTTGCTCTGGGGCTTACTGCTGATATAACAGTCTTAAACTGAAAGTGGTCCAGACAAACTAGGTACATTGCATCCTCTTTCAATTCAAAAAGAGCACAAAGACCATCAAAGCAACAGAAAATCTGCCACACTTCTAAGCACCTCAAGTGAAACGTGCACATAGTTCTAACCTCTTATGCAAGAAAGATGGATGTAAAAGTTCAGGATCCTTGTCCAGATCCCAAATTCAATAGATATCACCTGTACTCATGAATGAACTATTTAAAAGTCAGCCTAGGGGGCTTCCCTGGTGGCGCAGTGGTTGAGAATCTGCCTGCTAATGCAGGGGACACGGGTTCGAGCCCTGGTCTGGGAGGATCCCACATGCCACGGAGCAACTAGGCCCGTGAGCCACAACTACTGAGCCTGCGCGTCTGGAGCCTGTGCTCTGCAACAAGAGAGGCCGCGACGGTGAGAGGCCCACGCACTGCGATGAAGAGTGGTCCCCGCTTGCCACAACTAGAGAAAGCCCTCACAAAGAAACGAAGACCCAACATAGCAAAAATAAATTACTTAATTAATAAACTCCTACCCCCAACAACAACAACAACAACAACAACAAAAAGAGTACATGTGAATTCCAGAGTTTACTTATGAGGAGGTTCTATAAAAAAAAAAAAAAAGTCAGCCTAGCAACTCAGACTCTGCAAACTACACAAGTTCACTGAAAACAGCTATTTTCTGATATGGCCCTCTAGTTATTGGTGTGACTGAGGCTAGTTTCAGATTTACCCATAAGATTAATTTTCAAATGTTCTAAATTGATTGTGGTGATGACTGCACAACTATGCTGTGAATATATGAAAAAACATTGAAATGTACATTTTAAGCAGGTGAATTGTATGATATGTGAATTATATCTAAATATAGCTACTATTTCAAAATAAGAATCATTTTTGAGGATTTAAAGAATACTTTTGTTTTAATCAAATAGACAGTATCTTGCAGATTTAGTAACTACTAGTTTAAGTGTCAATCATCTTTTAAAATCAGATACATGACTCAAAGAATTCTTGTACAGTTAGCAAGCAGTACGTTCTTCCCTCCTGCTGTTTTGTTTCCCAGCCAGACCGAGGTTAGGTTACATTAAATCTAGTCATAAAAAGAAAATAGTTATATATCTGGCAATAAAATTCTATGTTAGCTTAATTTCCAAAAGACTGGAAAAAAAAAAGAATGTAGCACATCATTAGTTTCACGTTCACCATGAAATGAATAAATGAATTAGCACATTTCACCAATTAAAATCCAAGGGATACATCATTTAGGTAATTTCCCCAGATCCCTCAGGTTCCTAATATACTGTTCGACCATTCTGCCAAGCAGCTTTTTTCTAAGATGTTCTTTCTTACCTGGTCTCAAAGGTGTGACATCTTGCTGAAGATTAGCTGTTCTCAGAGGAGTTTTGCCCTGAAAAAGCCCTCCTGTACCATTCTTCCCAGGAAACTTATTCTCCAAATTGGCCTTCTCTTCTGTGAAAAGGTAAAATCACCATCGTGTAAACAATCAGCAAAGAAAGCAAAATAAATTAGTGCCATACACTTAATATGGGGCCTAAATAAAGCCTCTTTCCAGTATACTTCTAACTCATTTGCAAGTACCAGCAAAGTTCTAGTGATCAAAAAGGAATAAGTACATATTATATGTCAGAGATAGCGACTGCAAAAACTATCACTAAAACACTGGCAACACTGAACAATGTATTATAGAAAAGAAGTGCAGACTCTGCATTGTGGATAGCTCCTTATCTTTGCTTGATACACATTCAGGACCATACAAGCATAAACTGGTCTTATCTACCACCTAAATACAGCATGTTCCTCTTAAAGAAAACTGTATCCAGCAAGACTTGCAAGGCTTACAAGGGACATCTGATAGTCTAATTGTGTTGAGGTTCTTCCTCAACTAGGAGAGTGTGGGGTGTATGAGTATGGAACGGAGTTAGGCTCTCTTAAGGAGTTTTATCTTAGGTTCTGCTGTGCCCAAAAGCCAGTGCAAAACAGTGAAAAGTGTGTTCTACCAACAGCCTACTGATAGAAATTTTAGGAATGTGGCGAGCCCCAGCAATAACTCTGTGAATGTACACTCTGATTGCAAAACTGTGTAAAAAGATTTGATTATTTGGAAGAAAATTAGAAAGTAATATATTAGAACTAAGGTGATTTTGAAAAAAATAGTGGGATTCATTTTTTCTTCTAAACTGTATCTAATAGTATTGTTATATTAATATTTCCTTTCTTGTTTTCAAGAAAAACTTGGAAAAAGAGATAGACAACTCAGCTATTTCCTCAGGGTTTCTGTGGGCCAAGGGCATGGGGAAGACTTCTGTATGGCAGCTGGCCGTCTTATCCACCCTTCCTCCTACACCACGCCCAAAAGACCCCTCCTCTCAGGATACCCACTGGATTTTATTAGAATCCTTTTCCAAGAGAATGGCATATGCCATCACATTTGGACACTGCATTATAAGTGTTAAGTACAGCTGCAGTGGACTAATTTCTATCCCCCATCACATACTGATTTCTCTTAATGAGGAGGATAAGGACATGAAATAGAAGAAAATGAAGGAGCCCCAGCAAATACTAGCCTCACATATCACTGGGCTCAGATGTTATTCCAATGTAATATAAAAACAAAACCACATCCTTATTTGTTGACCTGGTGTCAAAGTTTGTGTCATATCACCTGCCCCTACATCAGGCAATCCTATCTCTATTTGGAGATTGGGTTCTGAGTAGCATAATCCCTCCATTTAAAAATGAACTGGGGGGAATTTCCTAGAGGTCCCGTGGTTAGGACTCCCTGCTTCCACTGCAGGGGGCACAGGTTCAATCCCTGGTCAGGGAACTAAGATCCTTCAAGCTGTGTGGTGGGACCAAAAACTAAAAAAAAAGAACTGGGGAGAAGCAGCAAGAGGGAGATGAGTATAGTTATAAAAGGACAACACAGGATCCTTGTGATGATAGAACTGTTTGATATCTTGACTGTGGCAGATCAACAAACCTACATAGGTGATAAAATTGCATAGAATTTAATACACATAAATAAAAATAAATACAAATCAAACTGAGGAAATCTGAGTAAGACTGTCAACATCCAAGTTCAGTTGTAATATTATACTCTATGCCCAGTGACAGTAGAGCAAGTTTTTATGTGACTGCCATCACTACAGACATGTCCTAGAACTTCACTCAACTTTGTTTCATCTAGATTTTACCATATGTCCCTAAAGCTTAAATATTTGTCATTCTTAACTGGAAAACATTGATTTCTACTGATAGTCCATTCCCAAAATACTGGGCGTCTCGATTATTTCTATCATATCGTGGATGACAAAGTATCTTGGTGCAGAAAAGAATTTATATTTTTTTAATTTATTTATTTTTATAAATTAATTTATTTATTTTTGGCTGCGTTGGTTCTTCGTTGTTCTGCGCAGGCTTTCTCTAGTTGCGGCAAGCAGGGGCTACTCTTCGTTGCAGTGTGCAGGCTTCTCAATGCAGTGGCTTCTCTTGTTGCGGAGCACGGGCTCTAGGCACACAGGCTTCAGTAACTGGCACGCAGGCTCAGTAGTTGTGGCTCACGGGCTCTAGAGCGCAGGCTCAGTAGTTGTGGCGCACAGGCTTAGTTGCTCCACAGCATGTGGGATCTTCCCAGACCAGGGCTAAAACCCATGTCCCCTGCATTGGCAGGCGGATTCTTAACCACTGCACCACCAGGGAAGCGCAGGAATTTATATTTTGGTTATCTACAATCCCTTCTATTTTTGAAAGGTCTCCAGCACAAAGCAAGTCACTAACCCTTAAAACAACCAGAGAAAGCAGATACTTACCAAACCAGGAATCTATGTTTTGGGTATCTTCCTCATCATTCAAAGATGTAAAATTGATGAAGTCTGTTGGAGCATCATAGGAATAGGAGGTTGTAGCTTGTGACATTTTTCCCACCCTTGGTGCAGAACAGCAGGTTTGCCCAGTGTTTGTTTCTCAATAGGTCACCTCCTAAGGAAAGAAATAGTTCAGAAACTTGGTGGCACATTTATCTTAAGGTACTGATTGCTTAACAATTACTTTGCTTTTATGATCACATTTGCAATTCTGAAAATCACCTGGGCAGTATGCCTTACTTTTCAAATCACACTAATAGTTAACTTCGCTTTTGCAGTAACTTGAAGACACTCCTTGAGGTAAATATATTGGAATTAGAAAGAGGTCAAATTTGATGAATACCTACAACATGCCATGTGCTGTGCTAGGTGTTTTACATTCATTATCTTATTTTCCTCAATTTACCGTTTTCTCATTTCCAGTCTCCTCCACATCCAGTGTGCTTTCTCTCTGCCCTGAATAACCCAATTTCTGAAACACACCATTAAATTTTATACCTACCAACCAAAATCTTACTCATCATTCAAATCCAGTCCAATTCTCTGTAAAATCTTTCCCAGTTTCCACCTATCATACCTAATTGTTGCCTCTCCAAAGCCATAGTGCTTTTATACCATCTAATTTTATATTAGTTAACTATGCAAATGTCTCTCCTAGTAGACGCTAAGTTCCTGTAGATAAGGATGAATTTTACTCACTTGTGTATACCTCATCCATCAAGGTGCTTAGAACAGTACCTCATACATAGTAAAAGCTCAATATAGTTTTGCCAAGTACAGGTTTTTTCTTTAGAAATACTTTCATAAAAATACTATTCCTGGGCATGAAGAGAAAGACTTCAAAAAATACATAAAAGAAAAAAAAAAGTATATAAACGGCACAACATGCAGATTAGGTAAAAGAAACATGTCAAAGACATGGGTCCATCCTTACTTCGGCATACTTTGTACAGAAGTACTGTACTGTGTCCTCTGTGCTGTGGAAACCTGTGTAGGTTTAAAGTCAGCCCCCACTCCAGCCTTGTATGGTTAAGAAAATAGCTGGAAGTAATCTGAAAAATAGCCGAAAGGCCACACTCACTGATAAATAATTTCCCTATGAAACCCAATGAGCCATTTGTCTTCATCCATGAAATGACATGTACTTAAAGTATTCTGTATCTTGGAAGAGAAGGAGATATCAGTAACAACTTGCATACACAGTTATTAAACTAAGTACCTTTCTGTAAGCCCTTATTTTAGAAATACATGCTCATTTTAAAAAATTAGATCACAAAAATAGTTTTCATAAAAATCTACAGTGCCACACTGCTCCAGACACACACACAATACCTCTCTCAATCTCTCTCTCTCTCTCCACACACACACACACACACACACACACACACGCACACATTTTGATTTTTCAAATGGGATCATTGACATTTTGAATCTGCTTCACATATCGTGAGCATATTCCTTGTCAATAAATATAGATATATCAGCAACCACAATTTACTTATCCCTTATTTTAGAATTTTCCCAATATTTTCACTTTAAAGATACTACTAGAAGAATAACCAGGTAGCTAAATTTCTGTACATATTCTTAATTCTTCCCTTAAGACAAATTCTTTTATTTATTATTTATTTATGTTTTGTGTTTTTGTGGGGTTTTTTGTTTTGTTTTGTTTTTGCAGTACGCGGGCCTCTCACCGTTGTGGCCTCTCCCGCTGTGGAGCACAGGCTCCGGACGCGCAGGCCCAGCGGCCACGGCCCACGGGCCCAGCCACTCCGTGGCATGTGGGATCCTCCTGGACCAGAGCACGAACCCGTGTCCCCTGCATCGGCAGGCGGACTCTCAACCACTGCGCCACCAGGGAAGCCCATGTGGGGGGTTTTGGCTGCATTTGGTCTTTGTTGCAGTGGGTGGGTTTTCTCTAGTTGCGGCGAGTGGGGGTTACTCTTCGTTGCGGTGCGCGGGCTTCTCCTTGTGGTGGCTTCTCTAGTTGCAGAGCACGGGCTCTAGGTGCACGGGCTTCAGTAGTTGCAGCACACAGGCCCCAGAGCGCATAGGCTTCAGTGGTTGCAGCGCATAGGCTCAGTAGCTGTGGCACGCAGGCTCTAGGGCACACGGGCTTCAGTAGTTGTGGCACGCAGGCTCAGTAGTTGTGGCGCACGGGCTTAGTTGCTCCTTGGCATGTGGGATCTTCCCAGACCAGGGATCAAACCCATGTCCCTTGCATTGGTAGGTGGATTCTTAACCACTGCACCACCAAGGGAAGTCCCAAGACAAATTCTTAAAGATGGAATTGCTGGCTCTTGACACATACTGTGAAAACATTCCTCAGAAGAGTAATACCCACTAGCATTACCAGAGAGGTGTGCCCGTTCTCTTCTGGGCACTAACAGCCCTCAGTGCTCATTTTCTCTATTTTATACCACTATACCTAGGCTGTGAGATAAATCATGAGATTAATTCCACCCAACCTCATTGCTGCTCAGTGGTTTAGCCATCATTTCATTAGCTTCTCTCAGTGGACTTGGGTAATTCAGAAGGAATTTGTTCTGACAGATATTTAGTTTATATAGTGACATCAACCTATACATCAGAGAACCTCATTCTCCCATGGTCTCTCTTATGAACTCACTGAAGCCACAACTCCACAGATACCTTTATAACAATGTGCCGACTGAGGAACTTAACGTAGAAATATGACATTTTGGAATTGGGAGGAATTTTAAATAACACCTAACTTTTTAAGTTTATAGATAAAGATTAATTAAAGTGAAACGGGGTCCTCCAAGATCACACAACACTTCTAATGATTATGGTAAAAACAGTTCCCAAAGGTGATTATACATGCCAGACACCATGTGGTACTAAATTGTACTATTTTAATAACCCTCAACAATCCTCTAAAGCATCAATTATTATTTCCATCCTAGAAGAGGAAGCTGAAGGTAAGGGAGATTAAAAGACTTCCCAATTATCATACAGTTATATAAAAGCAGAATTAGATCTAGAACTGAGGCCCCTGACTTCAGCACAGTGCTTTTCCTATATCGTTCTGCCCTCTCACCCTATGAATTAGAGAAGCATGTTAATGTAGTTATAGTCTCTATTTGCATAGAAAATAGTATGGTATTTCTTTCCAAGTAGATCCATTCTTCATAGTGTTTTGCCCTGAATAGAGGATTCTTTATTATCCTCCTTCTAAGTTTTCATTCTCCCCTATTTCTACTTTCATTATTCAGTTTAACTCAATAAGCTATTTATTAGCAGTCCACTCATATTACACACTTGCTAGAGGTCATAAATGTGGGCTTGATAATGTCGGAGCTCCTTTCTCACTAATATTCAAGGATGAGACAATATGTCTCATACAAAAGGTAGATCTAGTCTCAGACACAAAGGAATTAAAACCTAGACAGGAGTCCTATCACTCAATAAATAAGACAGTATAAATATTTAAATTATATAGTATAAACCATAAGTATAAAGAAAATTAGAGGGACTTCTCTGATGGTGCAGTGGTTAAGAATCTGCCTGCCAACGCAGGGGACACAGGTTCTAGCCCTGGTCTGGGAAGATCCCACTGCCGTGGAGCAACTAAGCCCACGCGCCACAACTACTGAGCCTGGGTGCCGCAACTACTGAAGCCTGCGTGCCTAGAGCCTGTGCTCCACAACAAGAGAAGCTACAGCAATGAGAAGCCTGTGCACCACAACGAAGAGTAGCCCCCTCTCACTACAACTAGAGAAAACCCATGTGCAGCAATGAAGACCCAACGCAGCCAAAAATAAATAAATTAGTTTTAAAAAAAAAAAAGGATGAAAATCAGAGATGACGTGGCTTAAGTCAAGTTATGATTAAATACTTTTCATTGAACAGCATCAAAACAGTAACAAGTGCACTGTAACAGAAGTCACCTCCTTGATTGCCAAGCTTCCAAGCTTGGGGTAGCCATGGGACAGTTCTGGCCAATGAGAACGATGAGAATCTGCTGAGGGATTCATAGGAAAACTCGTACTTACCTGATACAGCTACAGCCCTTGCTCCTGCCCTCTTCCTTCAGCTTTCTTCTTGCCTTGAAGGCAGATGTAATGGCTAGAGCTATAGCAGCCATCATATACACAGGAGTAAATGATTCAAGAGAATAACATACAATGGCCCTGATATCACTGAGCTATTGATCACTGATGATCAAATATCAGCAACCACCTACCTCTAGACAATAAAACTCTTTTCATATAGGCTGTTAAAGTCACATTTTCTTTCACTTAAAGCCCAAAACAATCCCAACATAGAAATCCAGAATTCTAGCCCTCTCCCTGGCATTACTTGATGTATATGATAACGGGCAAGTCACTCCACCTTTCTGCCTACCTACTTCCCGTAAACAAGTGAGAAGGTATTTTGAGTGCTATGAAATACACTACCGTATGATATTATCACTGCCTTTTGACCTACTGATACCTTTCCTCTCCTTGACCACATTTCTATTCAAAGGACATTGTTGAAAGATTCTCCAGCAATTGACAGTGGTTAAAATTCCCCTGCTGCAAGGAGGACGTTTTCCAGTTCTTGTGAACAAACATGCTGGAAGACATGGGAAAATCTTGGATTCCCATGATCTTAATGCCTAACCCAGGTCACTGGGAAGACTTCCCAGGCAGGAATGTAATGAAGACAACCAAAGCTGGGGGAGGGAAGAGGCAGGAATGTAATATGCAGCAACCCCACTTAGCCTCCTAAAAACTATGATTCCACCAAAGCATGCTGCTGAAAACCACCTGGAAAGTATTCAAATTTAAACCCTCACATCCTTTTTTCCTTTTTTTAATTATAGAGCTACACTGCTAGCCCCTGTGGAGGGCAATTTACATTTTTCTTTTTGATACATCTTGCCAAACGTAGAAATTTATCTTACAGATATGTATTTATACATATGTAAATATAAGAAAATTCACATAGCAGTGTTCATAAAAGCCAAAAACCTGAAAACCCCAATTCCACCAATAGATTAGTTGAATAAATTATGGCACAACCATATATTGAAATATTAAGTAACTTTAATATTAGATAACTTTACATATGTGATTTGTACAAAATGAGCTCCAAGAGCTACTAAGT